GTGTAAAGTTACTTTTCGTAAATATTAATTCACCCCAAGAAATTATAAATTTTAAATCAAAAATTGTTTTTTTTATTAAATATTTGGCATTCTTTTGAAATGATAAATTTTAAATCAAAATTTGTTTAGCTCGCCTCGCAACAACTCCAAACTTCAGAATATAAAAATTACCAAAAATCAGAGAATTATTCACGTTTCATAAGTGCAGATGATATTCGATGTACTTACAAGGATTTTTTACAATTAAAAAAAAAAAGAAAAAAATCTGTTTAGGCTTGTTTATCGGGGCGAGCGCGAATGCAGACCCCACATTTAGAAATAGCTCACCCGTGTTGACCACATTTGGGTGCGATTGCAAAGGTCAATCCAACCTGAGTGCAATGGAACGGCCTCGCTCTGGGAGAATTTGGTGTGGATTTTAGTAAATATAAAATCTTTTTATTTTGGGGTGAATTAACAGAAATGATTCCATTCGTCAATCACGTTTGTTTCGCTGACGTAAATTCCGTTCTTGTAAAATAAATATCTTTATTCTGAATACGCTGGTTTTTCGACGAGACATGTCAAAGCAGAGGTTTTCCAAATTTCCAAGACGGCCTGTTCAGAAGAAGGTCTTGTCTACTAAAATTCTAATGCCTGGACATTTCTTAAGATTTTGTTTTCTGACCAATAACTTTCCAGTAAACCTGCAAAAATATAATACATTTCTATGTCATACTACCATTAATTCCTCCTTGGTAATATAGTGGCGAGCATCCCCGCATTTAAAGTGCTTGGGCACCTCAGCGTGGTGTAATGGTTAGAAAGCTTGTCTGACTAGAACAATTACAACTGAGTAGTGAGTGCGATCCTCACTGGGTGTCCCATACTTTCAGCCTTGAATTTTACCATACTACTCTTAGAATTTCACTATACTACCATTAATTCCACACAACTCACTGATATTTCTTTCTTAACTTCAATACATTCTTCTTCCATGTTGGCGATCATGGCTCGCCACAATTTCCTGTACTTTCTACCTCTTAATAAATGTTGTCTTTTTGTTATCTCTCGTAGACCCTCCGCCATCAATTTACTCAAGCTCGTTAGTTTAAGTGTTGTTTTTCTATGTTCCCCTTGCCTTCAATCCGTCCTGTGAGGTTCAAATTTTCCAAGCCTCTTTCCTCATTATGTGCTATAGACATTTCAACTGTCTCTTCCTGATATTAAGTATAAATGGCCATTTTGTGTCCATTTTCCCTAAAACTTCGTCGTTGTTCACATGTTTGGTTCAGGGTATTCTCAGCATCTTTCTGTAGAATCACATTTCTGTTTCGTCAAATCTTTTCTTCAGATTGTTCAGCATTCACTGCCATATTGGAGGACTGAGATTACATAACATTTCAAATAGTGATAGGTGACAGTAGTCGTGGCTCCATGGGGCACAGTCCTATGGTTACAGAGAATCTCAGTTGAGTTCCACCACGGAATATGTGAGCGATCGGCGCTATATTGAGTCTGATTTGCAACCTCTTCGTCACCAAGGCCCGTTGGAACAGTTGGTATGACGTTTGCTTGATGACCTAACTGTCAGGGTTTCAATTCTCGGTAGTGGATGCGCACATCCCAAATATAGGACGAAACGGCCGTCCAGTGCTTTCTGCATTCTGTTGAGGTTTCTTTCAGACTCCATGAATTACTTAATTATAATTATCAAATCCTCCTAATAATTTTTATATATTAAGGCATTTTTATGTTTATAGATACAAATATTTAAGTAAATGCTCTGTTTATAATAAACATTATTAATAACATTTACCGGCCTGAATGTCCGAGAAATTTTCATTTCCTCCGACAGGAATCGAACCTGTATCCTATACGGAACCGTCATATAGCCTGACCTACCTTAACCGATTGAGCCACAGAGGATCGTTCGGTTAGCAAGGTCGATTTTACTGCTTTTAAACTACAATCTTCCAGGCTATATGACGGTTCTGACGCTTTCTTCAGGAGGACTGCTGTCAGCATCGTCTGACAGGCGTTTCCTGATTTGGTTCAAATGTTTTTTGTGAGTAAACTGGGGACCTTTATTTATGTAAATCTATTCTTTTCTCAATTGTACCCATTTCCCATCGCATTTGGATTCTTTCAATTTGAACCCGTACTCTTGAATTCTTGAAAAGACTTTATGAACATGTTCCTTGTGTTGTTCTACATTTTGACTGATTTATTAATATGTCGTCTAAATATGCAACCACGAATTCAAGACCGCCTAGCATAGTGTCCATTACTTGTTGGAAGATTACCGGTGTGACCTTGATCACGAAAGGTGGACGTTGGAATTTGTACAAACCACGATGAGAGTTGATGCAGTGCAACTTAGAACATTATTCCTCTACCAGTATTTGAAGATATGCGCCACTGTGATCAATTTTTGAAAAAAAATTCCTCCATTTAGTTTCGCGAAAATTTCTTGCGGGCTTGGTAAAGGATAGTGAGAATCTTTGAGTACAGCATTAAGCCCCGTCGAGAAATCGGCGCAAACCCGGATCTCTTTTGATTTCTTTTTCACATAGATGGTCGGTAAAGCCCCGGTTCTTTCTAGTCTGTTGAGTTCTTCATTTATTTGTGTTAACGAGGCGAAAGGCACATTTCTTTTTTTTCTTAAACACTGGTTGGATGTCATCTTTTAACTCGAATTTTGCCGTCATCTTATTACACTGGCCAAGGCCCCCAGAAAAAAAACCTTCCGAAAATGTTTCTTTTAAATCTTTTATTAAATTTTTTGCCTCGGTTGTCAGGTTTTCGAATTTTTCGTAAAATTAATTGGCATGTCCCACAACTTAAATTTTTCCATCCAGTCGTTGCCAAATAAATTTTCTGTATTCTTTAATACGTACGTTTTTAGTTTTAACGTCCTTCCATGAAAAAGTTACATTTGTGATAAGTTCTTCATCAAACTTGATTTTCATCCCTGTCACAGACCTGACCATTTTATTAGATCTTAACATGGTTTGTTTTCCCAACTTTTTCCAAATGTGTAGATCTATGATTGTCAAATCTGACACAAAATCCAACTGTAATTTGATATTTTTATTTTGGATTTGTAATTGCACGTATTTCCTAATATTTAACCCATCTTGTTCATCCGATTTTGTGTTTTTACGCAGCTATTAACCTTTTTTCCCTGCTCGGCAATGTGAGCTCTTGTGCCCGATACGGTTACAAGTTAGGCACTTCTTATTCCGGTAAGGGCAATCCTTATACCAATGTAATGACCACCCACCAGAGCAAGGGTTAGGAGGCAAATTGTCTTGTTTCTTTTTGGACTGGTTTGATTTAGAGGGAGAATTAGATTGTTTTTTTCCTTTTGGTGTACCTTTCTTATGTGTGCTATGCCAGATTCTTCGATGTTTTTCGAATCTTGGCGTACGCTTACGAATCTCTGACAGTTTCCCACTATTTGTTGGAGAGTAAGTTTTGGCTCGTTTTCCCATTTGTTCAGAACTCTACGTCTAATTTCAGCGTCTTTAGGTGAAATGAATCCCTGAACAAATATCAAACACTTGAAATTATTCGAACTCAATTCTGACAGTTTAAAATGGTCGCAATGCTTGTTCAGGACCGACGGAAATGTAGTCTAATCTTCACTATTCTTCCTGGTCAAATTCATACACTTCCGTCTCTTATGAAAAAGTGAAGTTTTTGGACTAAAACGTTCTGTAAGAAGTTAAACCGCTTCGGTAAATGTCAGTTCGCTTGTTTTTCGGGGTAAAATATAATTCACATATTTGGTGTGCTCCATGGTGCCTAGTTTTCGAAGTAGTAGGCGAACCTTCTTAGAGTCTGCCCAATTCGAGCAATCTGTGGCATATAAATCCTAGTACCTTCTAAAATAGGAAGCGAAAGTTATATCCTCGTCCGGAGAATATGCAAAATTGTTTATTGCGCCCCAGATCGTGTTTTTTGAGAACGCATTTTCGTTTTCACTCATTTGCCCCCTGTTTGTCAGTTCAAGCAAGTTACTTTTCTCTTGCTGAGTTTGAAGTAGAATTTCTTCAAGTTTTTGTTGTCTGATTTCCGTTTGTTTTTGTAATGTGAGACTTTCTTCTTCCATTCGCTTTTAAATTTCAAGCCTTTCTTTTTCAGTTCGCTTTTGAATTTCAAGCCATTCTTTTTGCCTATACAACTGGAGTTGTTCCATTCTTTTTTGCTGTTCAAGTTGAAATTTAAGTAAATTGAGTATGACGGATTTGAACTGCGTCTATGTTATGATTAAACCAAAATAGAATGCAATTGAGGAGTAAAAAAATAACCCATTTTTTACTCATTCAGGGAATCACGAGTGATTTTTTTCTCTGAGAGACATGAATTCTCAGAAAGTTCAGTGTAAGTTGGCTACACTTTTTTCTGTTCGGTTTCCTTTTCTGGATTGCCAAGTACTGTTGAGTAGAAGCAATATTGACAATTACCACGTAGTCCCTTTGGGATCCTCAAGGGTCCTTAAGAGTCCTCGTAGTCAAGTTGTTGTGGCTTTGTTAGGGCCCGAAATAAAGAAACAAAAGAGTAATTGAGTCAAACAAATATATTAACAGAAACAGTAATACAAACATACAAACAAGTGTGTTACAGCAAGAATTTTCGGTCCGACTGTCAGAGCTGACTGCTGGAAACTTCCCTCTCCAAAAGGCAGTACCTGCTCCTATTTATAGCTGGGAGAGTCCATGCATGGGTGGGTAAATTACCATAACACCCCCTCCGCAGGAATCTCAATACCTTTTTTCATTGTTTTAACGACAATTAAGTTCGTCATTTTCGTCGGAGTGTCGGGGCCAGGATGAACACCACAGTATCCTGCATGATCCTTTTTACGGAGCTGAATCTAGTCGCCGAATTATCAAGTGTCCTTCCTCTTTGGATAGGGCCTGGTCAGAGATGGATGAAGATTTATCAGCAAACATCCAGACACTCAGGGGTGGTCCAGGAAAGAACGTCCGCCAGCTTGGGGAGATGATCAGTAACTATGGGGTCATTAGGTTTGGTTTAAAGGAAATGAAAGCTAAGCCCTTAACTCCAGTGCAGGTAAGTCGGCGGCGAGGAACCATCCGGTCATTGAGGAAAGAGATGCGAAGGTTACGAGCAGCAATGCTAATGAGCCGAGGGCAGAGGAAATCAAGCCAATCCTGGAGGAAGCACAATAGTAAGTTAAGTAGAACGGAACGGCTTGCTAAAAAGAGACAGAAGGCTGCCAATCACAGAGAGTCTGTTCCGCTTCACAAAGCAGTTGTTTAGGGAGAAGACTGGCGAAGTGTTGAGCATTGAGCAGGCGGAGCTGGAGAGAAACCTTATGAGCACGTACTCTGATGCCAGCAGGGAGGTTCCAGCGGAAATTTATTCAGGCCTGGCGCTCCAGAAGTAGCTTTTGATGAGTCTCCAGTGACTTGGAAGGAGGTTCAAGGAGTTATACGGAGGTGAAGAGCGTGTTCTGCGGGTGGTCCTAATGGTGTGATATGCTGTCTACAAGAGGTGTCCCAGGCTGCTGAGATGTTTGTGAACGCTTCTTGCGAAGATTTGGGAAGTTGGTGATGTTCCCGACTGTTGGTGTCGAGCTAATGGTGTGTATATACCGAAGGAGGAGAATTCGTTGACATTTAATCAGTTTCGCTCAATATCTCTCGTCAACTTTGAAGGAAAGGTGTTCTTAAAGTGTTTGGTAAACGTGCTGGTTTTCTTAAACAGTGTTAATTACATCTAACCGCCTGCGCATTCGAGAGACTTTATTTATCGGTATCACCCCATGCAAGGCAGTACAGCCACTAACACGCAAGGGGTTACAGGGTGTGTAAGAATTAGAAACAGAAATATTAGTTATGAGGAGAAAGAGAAAATAGCAATCAGGAGAACAGTAGATAGCGATTGGCATTGCATTTAAATTTTGCAGAATAAAGTTAGCTGGAAAACATGTAACCGGGAGTGCGAAAAAAGAAACTGTTAGCATAGAACTTATGGCTACATCTAGCCAACTCAACTGTAAATTGATGAGACCTCGCCGCCAGTTTAGTACTGCGATTAAATTCATTCCGTCTAGGTACCACGACGAAGGGCTCATCCGAACAATTACCATGAAAGTATTTAAATAAAATACGCAGAGACACAACCTTACGGCGGTGGGTTAGTGACTGAAGCCGAGTAATATTGCAGATTCTTCTTTTGATCTTATCAAGTACTTCCAGGAAAAGAACAGGGGCACCGAACCATATAACTGTTATGGGACCTTACCCATAATAACATAATGGACTATTCCATACGTAATAAATACTGCGCCTCAAGAGGAAGCAGGGAGTTCCGTCTGAAGTCGGGAGTTCCGTCTGAAGTCGGGAGTTCCGTCTGAAGTCTGGAATGAAGTCCGTCAGGAGTCTGTCAGTCAGTCAGAGCGAGTGAGTCAGTCAGTCGAGTCAGAGGCAGTCCGAAACAGAGTCGCGTTCAGACAATTAATACTAAACCTGATTGTTCGTACTAACACTTTCTACTTTTCTGTGTATATTCCTGTTTGTAATATATCTATGTTATTCCATATCCGTGTTCGAGTTCTTCTTTATTGGTTCTACCTTGGACTATCACCCGGGGTACAAGGAACCGGGCCATAACAGTAACCATGGACAAATGGTAGACTTATAGATATGCAAGATAGATTACGGAGAGAAAAATTGTATCGCCACACAAAGTGAACTGACTTTTTTATCAGCTGATCTAGCAAAGGATTCAATGTAGTCTTTCCACCTCATGTCAACTGAGAATAGAGAAAATGTACTCTCCGGCAGGCTATGTATACGCGCCACACTTTTGTAAGGAAAACCACCGTCTGGTCCGGCGTACCAGATATTGGCGAGCATCACGGCACAGCAAGGTTCAATTAGGAGCAAAGCACGCTGGCTCAGTGTGCTGTTCCCCCTTAAAAAGTGAGGCGCAGGATAGTAATCTACCAGAGGACATATTTTATTTATTAAGTCTCTCGAATCGAGAGGTCGATAGGCGTAATTCACATTAAAAACAAACAAACAGAGCGTCAACTCAGATATGGATATCCAACAAATTGATCTTTTAAGTAAATACTTTTAATATAAAATAATTATTTTTTCTTTATAGATTGACACGATTGACCTCAAGATTTTCGCAACACCGATAAGTCTGAGACACCCGTAATTACATGATCTCGGTCAACGGAAAACCTTAATCTTGCTCAAGGTCTTCTGCAGCGCCAAGAAATTTCAGAAACCCGACATTAGATTAGATGACCTTGGGCCACAAAGCAACCGTGTTTCATGCATTTATGTGTCTGCATCAGATTTCGAATGGTTATCCCTGGATATACAAATGACAGGAAATCTCCTCAGATTCCCTTTATTATTCGTAGAATTCTCGCTGCCTGTCGTGATTTAGAGAGTCTTCATTCTCTCTTGAATTTCCAATTCCAATTCCAGCTTTTTTGACACACGGTTCCACATTCGTCAACATTTACGGGCTCAAACCTCATTTTCATGATCGAGTTTTTTTTTCTTAGCTCTCGAGCGAGGACCTGGTGTCATTCCAATGTTTTGCTTTCTTTCGCTTTTCACTGTGCGATTCACCACTATAACCCGCCAGATTTTATTCCCTTCTTTTCGATTATACGGTCAAGTCAAGTTTTTTCGCTTGGAGTATTGTAGAAAAGCCCCACAATATCTGATTCTAGGTTCTAGGACAGTTGCATACTGGACATTTGCGTCCATGGATAATTGTGCACCTGTGATAATTTTTTTTTTGGGGGGGATTTTTAAAGGCAATTACCATAAATTTTGAAAAAAGCATAGGTAGTAATTATAATTTTTTAAGAAGAATAAAATAATAATAAAAAAAGTTTATTTTTGTTTAAAATGCAATGACAGATTAACAGTGTTGCAAGATCACTCTACACATCGCCATTATGTTTTTGTTTCATCGGTGTTTTTCTTATGATAGTCGTAGCTGTAATTTTTCTCGTCCACAAATATTTTTCCACCACTGTTTCATTTTCGGAATTTAGTCATGGGTTCCAAATAAAAATATAATCTATAAAATCCAGAATCTATTAGATGTTTGTGGCACGCACTGCTGGATTGAACTGAAACTGCTACCTTAATTTTCTCTTGCTTTAAAAAAAAGAAATTTTTGTCTTTTTTTTAATTCATGGTAACTACCTTTCTACTTATTTAGAGTAATTAAAGTTATTGGTGTGCAAATTTCTATATTAAACAACTGTTTAAAAAATGGTAAAATTATCAGAGGTACGCATTTGTCTAGGGACATAAAGGTTCAGGGACGCAATTGTCTGGTACGTAATTGTCCGGGACGCAAATATCCAGTACGCAACGGCTGGATACTTCAGGTAAATATAAATATGTTTACAAAAACAGAACTAATCTAAGGTTTTTTTAATTGCTGCAGTGAACTGAAACTGCTAGTTTAATTTTCTCTTGCTTTAAAAAAAAGAAATGTTCTCTCTTTTTTTATTTATGGTAAAAAATATAATCTATAAAATCCAGAATCTATTAGATGTTTGTGGTACACATGCTGAAGTGGACTGAAACTGCTAGATTAATTTTCCCTTGCTTTAAAAAAAAAAAAAGAAAGAAATTCATGGTAACTACCTTTCTACTTATTTAGAGTAATTAAAGTTATTGGTGTGCAAATTTCTATATTAAACAACTGTTTAAAAAAATGGTAAAATTCTCAGAGATACGCATTTGTCTAGGGACGTAAAGGTTCAGGGACGCAATTGTCTGGAACGTAATTGTCTGAAACTGCTAGCTTAATTTTCTCTCGCTTTAAAAAAGACATTTTGCTCGCTTTTCTTATTTATGGTAACTACTTTTCTGCTTATTTAGAGTAATTAAAGGGATTGGTGTGCAAATCTCTATATTAAACAACGCTTTAAAAGAAAAAGTAACTTCAAAAACTTCTCAGACGTACGCAGTTATCCAGAGACGCAATTGAGCAGGACGCAATTGAGCAAGACGCAAATGTCCAGTACGAAACTGTCCGTTCACCGTGGAAAAAGGCTTTGAGCGAATAAAATCTGAGGGTTTTGGCAAAGATCATCCGTATTTGAACATTGTGGACTGGCGAATCACGAAGAACTGTATCAATACATAAATGTGCACCCACATGTATAATATGAGGAACATATGTGCATATACACACACACACACACGCATATATATATATATATATATATATATATATATATAGAGAGAGAGAGAGAGAGAGAGAGAGAGAGAGAACAGCCGTTGGTGTTTTAGGATTTTTCTTTCTTTTTTATTTATGGTAACTACCTTTCTACTTGTTTAGAGTAATTAAAGGTATTCGTGTGTAAATTTCTATATTAACTCCCTAAAAAAATGGTAACTTCAGAAAAATTATCAGAGGTACGCAATTATCCAGGGACGCATTTGTCTAGGGACGCAAATGTCCGTCCACCCTGATGCCACTTTTCAGCTCTCACTCTTTTTTTTTATACTTCAGCCTTATTTGATGTATAAAGTGTATGGACCTCCCGACTCTTCTTTTTTTTTTCGTTTATCCATACACTCATTATTATTATTATTATTATTATTATTATTGGAAAAGGACGGTGTCTTACGACTATATCACATTGAAACATCGGTTCCCGTACGTTCTCCAAAGTTAAGCAACGTCGACACTGGATGAGTGACAGTTTGCAAATACTAGGTGCTGTAAGCATGAATATGCCGGTGGTGTAATGAACAATGACTCGGAATTATTAATCTAAGAGCAGAGTTCCAATTCCAGTTGGGTTCATTATATTCACTTATGTGCAAATAGCCTTTGGAAAGATATCCACATCTTCTACCCCCAAGTTATGGTTTAATTAGTAGGACATGTATCAATATATCATTATTATCGCTAAAATAATCTTACAATGTAAAAATTCTTTTAAATATTAAATAACCTTCAAAAGGTTGATAAGCCCTCAAAACAAATAAATCAATCAATATTTTTTTTTGTTACCTTCATTTGTTTTATAATCAGATTTCAGGGCATAAATGATGGCCTAGGGCAGGCATGGGCAAACTTTTTCGGGCAGTGGGTCGCAAGATCTATGTCTCATCACAAAGTGGGACGCACCACCAAAAAGATTCAAGGTAATTTTTTCGTAGAAGGTACCCCACCTACTTTCACTAAAGAAGGCCATATGCGTAAGCATATACCAAAGAAATGGTTGTAAAGTTTTATTTTTAAGAAAAATTTTTTATAATTAAAAAATTGAATTCTTGATATAATATTATTATTGATGACATTGTGATTATCACATGTCACTGCG